AACTAAACTTTGCTGTTGCTCGTGTTTATAAGACAGCTAAGTTCCACGAGAAAATCCTCAGCATGGTATCGAGAGGATTCCAGAGATAAAGGAGAAATCGGCGTTGATCCTTTTCTTTATTTAAAGGCGCTTACAGAGTTCGAGACACTAAGTCGACGGTCGTTCTCTCTTCCATCATAAGAAATTCTCTTTTGCTTTCAATCGAACCAATGAAATCCCTGTTATAATACCCGGAATAAATAAAATAAAACAGAGAAGAACTATATGAACATAGAAAATTATATTTCCTAATAGCTAATTCATTAAACTAAAAATAAATATAATTAACGAAGGCTAAAATAGAATTACTGGTAAAATAAAATTCTGATAAATAATAATCGAACAGAAAAATATTCAAAGTGATGTGTTATAAAGATCACCTTTCTATTTTCTAGGATAGGTTCGTTCAATGAAAACCTATTTCACGATATGAATAATACAGTCGAGGGGAGACCACGCATTTTCCTCTTTCTATTAAGGATTCACCCTGTCCGCAACAGGGTATTCAGAGTGACGGTGATCAGCAGGAATAAGTTTAACAGCGGCGCTGAAATTGTCGGCCAAGCCAGAGGAAACCCTGACAAACTTTTGCGCAGCATAGGTAACAAAGTGAGCTCGTCAAACAATCGCGTCTCTGGGCCACAATGAAACCGCGGTATTGCCAATCGGTCGAATTGGATTTCACCTCCTGGCTTTCCAGTTTCCACTTGATTGGATCGATAAGGGCCGGGTCAGCCGGCTAAGTATAGTTAAGGCACGGTTTAAATCAATTAGAGGAACCGAGAAACGTTCGTGCAAAATGTTACTAAAAGGAATCATTTTCGAAGAAGTATCGACAGATCGAGCAGTTTCGCCTCGTTAAAAAATTTGAAAAATTACTGTGTTCGTGATTAGGTATCAGCGGGTATCCGAAAATTTGGATCGGGAATATTTTTTATTCCAGTCGGATTTTTAACTGATGCTAGAAGACAATGGGAGTTCCAAACTCGGAGGAAATTTCAGCGCATTTCTAAATCCCGTTCACCGTTGGATTAAGGACAGCACCTGCTCCTTTGTTTCCTGGCTTCAGAGGAAACGGCGATAAGGGTGCAAGACCTTTGGGACACCAGTTTTCTGAATTAAAAGTCAGTGTTCCACTTGGGAGGCACTACAAATTAACTTTGAAGTACGAAACTTCATGTTTTATTAATTTATCGAATCTATAAGTTTCTCGAAACAAAGGCTACAGTTGCCTAAATATAAATTTAATGCTACAATCTTCACCCTATCATTAATTTCAAGATACTAATTACAATTTCGAAATTAATGTTTAATGTTCGTCAAAATATTAAGCATAGAATGTAATTATAAAAATAATGTAATCAACGAATTACGGTGACATTAAAATGCATTGCAAAAAGTCTGCTGCGCAAGGTTTCTACAGAATGATCCGGGAAAAACGAAACTAGAAAAAGCTACATTCGAAGCTGCTTCTAACGAAATCGTCACGATACGCACCGTGAAATTGTTTGAATTGCAAATTGCAGGTTTCTCTATGCACCGACAATTCTCTGCTCGATAAAGTTAAAATAGAGTAGGTATGGAAAACTTGTCTAGAAGCTAAGAATTAAGCCTTAGATTGTAGAAATTCTATAAATTGAATAAAATAAAAGAAACGAAAGAAATTATTTAAACCGTGAATTATTGCAAAATAGCCACCTTCTGCAGTACAAATAGTATGCAGAACAATGTCCGTGAATAAAAATCACAGTCCAGAACAGAACTTGTAAATCGCTCAAACTTAATCAACATCAACGTCCAAACGCCCTGCATCAATCACACTCGGGGAAAAAACCACCCTGAAAAACAGAACATGGTTTCATTTGGTTTCGAGCCCATCGACAGTGACCATTTCCCCGCGAACATCGAATTACAAATGCCGTTACCAAACAGACCCATCGAAAAATCGAAAGTGACATCGTCGATTCCACGGTCCACGATAAAACCAACAAAATATTTTTCCTGTTTGCTTACACGTCGAGCAGAAAAACGCAGGGAAAAATTGTTAACCGGATGCGTGATGCGAATAGGAGGAAAAAGGGTGGTGGAGGAAATGGGTGAATCCAGAGAGGATGAATTTCTCCTAAAAAATTATTTTTGCAAATTTTCTAATTATCAAATAAAGTTGTATGAGTTAATTCTTTTTCTGCCAGAAATTACCCTTTAGGATGCCATTGCTCTGGAATGGTCAAGAAATTACGAGGTTTCTAAAGCTTAGATTTAGGATTAGGACCTTACGATAGCCTTTGGAAGCTCGTGAAGCAACGGCATTTAATTAGAACGGCTACCGCGCTAAATAAGCCCTGATACGCTATCTCTCGCGTGAAGCCATTTCAGCGGTGCTGGATGGACTTTAATTAAAATCGTAATTTTTGTTCTGCGTAAACGTTACTACAACTGTGACCCGCCGGTGGATAACGAACGATTAACATCCATGGAAATTCAGCCGGTTGTTTGCCGGAGGAAAGGGTTACGGTTTGCGCAGTGAACGCTTCGAATATGAATTGTTTAGTGTGGTTGGGATGAAAATCGAAGTACTGCCGGGTTTTCAATGAAATATGTAGAGAAACCTAAATCCTTCAACCTGACTGTCTTAAATAATAGGTACAGTGCTATTTTAGCAGCTGCTTGCTATAGAAAAATAGAAACGTTAATTAAGGGGGTAGGTATTTTTTATTTGGAAGAACTAAATAATCTCTAAAAAAAAATTTTGAATAAAAACGGAAAATGGAAAAGGGATTTATTACTTTTTTTATGTAGGCACAGATTAGAGGCCTTTGAACTTTTTGTAAAAGGTACGTTTAACCAGAGTTTATTGATTCCAAATGAAATAGCAATCGCAGACGCGAAGATCGGATAAATTACTAATGATTATTACAAAAATAATCGTGGATGGACGCACCCCATTTACGCGAGACAGTGTTTAGCATAACATTAATTTAGATGAAGCCCGCGGCATTTCTGCGTAAAGCAATTATACAGGGGCTAATTAAGATAGGCAGATAATCCAATAATTCACGAATAATCTCGCGAATATCATTAACGAGAAAATCCGGATGAAATGTATGACTTTTTGCACGCGATTGTTGCGAATATTTCTATCGATAAATCCACCAACTTACACCCCCCGCAAATTAATTTCTGAACGCTATTTTCAATTTTTCTTTAACGATTACTCAAACTTTATGAAATTAATAATAAGAAATACGAAACTATCAGAAAATGTTTAAATAATAGACATAAAACGAAATAGCTTTTCTATATTACCACGTTCGTGGAGAAATAATGTAGCTGGTAAACCTCGTAACAGCTTAATTACAATGCAAGTAGTTTAAAATTCTCCAAAATCGCTACACGTGTATCGCAGAGCCTCGTATAAAGTACACATAATCGTTTCCAACGAGTAATAATAACTCATATTATGCGATCGTTACAATGTTTCGTGGAAAGAAACGAGGATTCTTGTTCGCGAATTACCGGTTGTAAGGAAACGTAATAACAATAAACTTTCTTCGACTTCCTGAAGAAATACACAAACGAAATACCAGATTACAGTAACTTGGTGATAATAACAATCAATTACGAATCCCTGGTACGACTACTGTGAAATTTGCATGCATGCACGGCAATTTAAAGTGCTAAAAGGAGTAATTTATGTAGTACATATCGCGATTCTTAATTATACTCTGCAGTGTGATCAAAGATACACTTTGCTATTATTGATAACGTTAACTGCTACACTCGTGTCGAGCCTGCGGCCTACAAACCGAGAAAAACCTTCAAAATGTTATTTCTGACGAATCAAATTATTATGAACTTAAAGATTTTTTGCTTCGAGTGGAAACTGAGCTACTGGCGTTACAATTAACTGATCAGGAAAGCCTAATGGTGTGCTACAAGCATATTAATATCCGTACCCTACTTATAAGAATCTCCTCCCGAAGGTTCCTCACGAACAAGCAATTCAAAATGTTTCATAACCGCGATAACCCTAATCTTGCTCCATCATTCGTACAATAAACGCGACAAAAATCTCGACGATGTAAGAGTGATTAGAGAAGCTAGTTTTTCCTTTGTCGTAGCAGCAAAGCAACAACGATCACGTGCGAAGAAGAAACAAGTCCGGTACACGAGGGTAACACACACCTGTTCGATCATTCTTCAAGTCGTATCAGCATCGTGGCTCGAGCGACTCGAACGGAAGTCGTGTAGAACGGTAGCTAAAGCATGTAACACGCTTCCGATACGGGGTAAATAAGTGTCGCGACACAGGCTAGGAGAAACCGGTGGGTCTCGTGTGTCCACCTGCGATTCGTGACTTCGAATAAAACCGACTATCAACACGGCTACTATATTCAACGACGAGGTTAGTGTTTTTGTCCGGAATGTTGCTTGGATACTGACGCGTTCAAACGGTCTACTTCCGGCTGTAAGTTAAACTCGATACCCTACGAAAATGCAACTTACGATCGGCTGCACGATAACCGGAAAAACGGGGGTAGACGGAATCGATTCTGGGCTACGATTCTGTTGCAATTTAACCGAGTTTATTGACGATAATACTTTCTCGAACGTGTATTGGTTCGCCGATGTAGAATGCGTTTCATGAACCAGAAAATATTTTGCCGTTTGTTACTTTAATGATTCGATGTGTAACCCATTCCCTGATAACTGGAAGGAAAATTTACGATTGGGCATTCTGCAACACTGTTAAGGACTTTAGCGGTAATGTTTCCGCACATGTATACGAACGACGGACCATGGAAAGAGTACCATATTTTAATAAAATTTTGTATTTCATATTATTTTAAAGAATTTTCAATTGAAACTCGTCTAAAGAGTCAACGATTATTACAGTGACTAATAGAAGATTAAAAATGAAGAGAGAAATCTAATAACCAGTAAAACTTTCTTTCCCTTACCTGGATTTACGGCGTGGCAGTGGTTGAGGAGCGGCAGCCAACAGAGCAGTAGCACCGCTCTCTGCATCTGAAACAAAAATCACAAGTATTTTTCATTCACTGTTCTCTCGTCTAATTGCTATTCCACGGATGCGACTGTGGCGTCTTCTAATGTGATTACAACATTGATGAAAATCTGGAATGAAAACAGGCCGACAGTCGGGATCCACGGGAAACCGTGGAACCACTAATTACAGGAGAGAAACCGAGTCAGCTCGAAGAATGAAGCGCAGCGGGATCATTCCGCACGAGGAAGCAACGATCGCGCGCGTGCATAAATATCAGCACAGATACGGTTGCGAGCACGTGTGCGACCCGATCCACGACGTATCCATTCCTCCACCGGCAAATGAACTCTCCAGCGATGGTTCCACGTGGTCGCGTGTGCACGCACGAACGATTTGTGTGTATAGGGGTAGCCGTGCGATGAATTTTCCACAGGCCAGACATTTTCGTTGTGAAATACCTGGGCCGAGGATCGCGTGGAAAACAGCCACGCCCGGGATACTTTACTTCACGGAATGGAAAACGAGCGGGACGGCCGATTTGTCAAATTGATTCGTCCCGTGAACGCGTGGAATTTTAAATTCACACTCGAGAACCGACCGGTCCCCGATGTACCATTAGACACGTGCAAAACGTTAGATTCTATGGGGATAAGATATGCAAAATTTTCGAATACTCCTTTCACAGTTTTAATTCATGGTGAAATTCACTGAATTATTAAATTTATTTTAAATTTTATGTACCGTGATTTTTCATTCAATGAGCAGAGCATATTTTCATTAAAGTATAAAATGTACCCGTGTAAATTCTGGCGTATGCAAAATTTTATGATCTAGATTTCACGGTTTTAATTTATGGTGTAGTATGGAATTTTTAATTCGCCAAGAGTGTACTTTGAATAAATTATTGTTAAATTGGAGACACCAGAAAATAAAATCTAAGAACACCTTACATATTACGATTCCTTAGTCGACCCATTCAAATTGTAATTAGTACCGTCGTTCGACTTTATATGTACGTTGAATATATTTAAATACACTTTCGCTACTTTATCTTAGTCTCTAAAACGCGTTATCCTCGTTAAGAACCGCATCGATATTCGTTAAACTTTCCTCGTAGAAACTTAAATCTAACCATTTTCCAGCGACGTTAAATCTCGAATTATTCACGATCCTCGGCTAACGAATCCGCCTCGATCTATCTTAAAAACGTCTCTCGGAAACGAATGAAACAAGACTTTAATCCGTGCAAATAGCTCGTCGTAAATATGAATTAAGCAAATGACGGAGCTTCATTAAAATTGCACCATCGATTGGTTTCGTACGTCGAGCGATATCGCGTGGTTAAATCCACTTAAGACGGGAAAGAAAAACGGGTATCCGTCTATGGGATATTCGAAATGTACATTTCTTCCTATTACAAGGAAATACCGTGATCCAAATTGCTATACTCCTTGTGCTCGATTGAATATGCTCCTTTATAGACCTTTCTTTGATACGATCGTGCTAGTATGAGACTGTGCTAGACAGACAAAAGTGAAACGTACCGAACTATTGAAAAGAAAGCCAGAGACTTTCAATAGGGACTTCAAATAAATTTTCTTTGATCTACTAGCTTGCAAATAAAATTCTACACTGCAATCGGCAATTTTCAATTTCAAAACTTTACATTACCGCTTAGAATATTATTAAAACACTTATCAAATTTTTCAATTTTAAGTCTCCAGTGGAGTTCACACCTCCATTTTAATTTTAATATTATGTCATTTACAACCAAAGGAAAATTGCACAAAGTTACAAGATTTTAATATGCAAGGATTAAAATGAAACTCTGCACTTTGTCAATACTCGATAATCCCTAGTATCAAAAGGTCTGTTAATTAGACTTCCAATCAAGAAGGTGTTTGGATTAAAAGTGAATGGAAGAACGAACAGAATCGACGTCGAAACATCGAGCATTCGTGAGATTTGACCTATAGACAGTCGTTCCACTTGGAGCAAAAGGAACTGTTGATATTGCTGAACAATAAAGCCCTCTTTGAAATCGATCTTGGATACACCTATTGCGCAAACACTTAAAACAGTGATATTTTTAGTATTTTTATTGACGACTGAATCAAACGGTAGAAGTAGAAACATATAAATACTTGCCTCGATACTGTAATCTTTTCTTCGTTTTTCTTTCAATCTTACAACAGTATGAATCTCTAATCGAAATAATTGTATTAGATTCAATAAAATTCTATGAATATTAAATTTATGTTAGATTGAAGCTAGCATTGCGTTAAAGTAATTTCACTAGCAGATTACTAACAGCAGTCAATGCGTTTCATTTCCTTCTGAAATGAAATTCCAATTTAAAGTTGAAATTAAATTCTGAATACTACATTTTTCAAACCGTAGAACGAGATTTTAAGCATGCATTTTGTAGCAAAACTATTTTCTGCAAAAAACTGATTGAAGTACCCACATATATCCGGGAGCGATTAAAATATTTGATAATGAAAACTGACGGATTTAATATTTTCCGCGTCACTCGTCACCTCCCTTACGTTTCATTCAAAACTCATCATCCAAAGCGAGATTTTTCCGGCGAAGAAAATATTTAACGTAACACGCAAGAATGAATTCCGGCTTGCCAACAGACGAGCCCGCAACGAAACAGTTTCGTACCGCGAGTTTCTTGCAAAAATTTAATTGAAATTCTTAAAGTGGTTCCGCGGTAATTATTCAACGGCGAAAACAAAAGGCCGCACGAGCTCTCCCCTGTTCAACAATGACCGTTTTTCAAACAACCGGCCGTAGAGATACATCGAAACTGTGGAAATAAATCATTCGCGGTATAACGAAATTTCACGTGGCTACAATTGTCAGATCGAATGAAAGAACGTTCGCCAAATACACTGAAAGCAGAATACACTTGTGACAATAGTTTCCCAACGTTTTTCGCATCCATCATTCGACCATCGCAATTAAACGTTCTGATTAGAATTTATTAACTGAATGGACAAAAGTAAAGACAGATGTGTTATTTATGCAATTTTCAAGCTATACGTATAGAATGAATAATTGAATTATGTATCTCTTCTACTAGCATCTCTGGTTTGAGGTACCAAACCTCTTCGAGAGCCTGGCAAATGATAAAAAAATCAAGAAAAATTTATCGAGTCGATAAAGTTCTAAAGGTTTGTTAATACGACAAGGGTCGAAATGACTTTTGAGCGGTAATGTACATGCGTCGCAGTGATATTTGCCCTCGACACTGACTGGAAATTGTATTAGCGCCGGCTCGGGTCCATGCAAGAAGTAGGCCGTTCCAGTTGCACTCTCGCGAAGAGAACGCGCGGCAAAGGTCAAAAGTGCATGAATTGTTGCGAAGTGGCTCGGTCCTCCACTCGCTAAAGCAGTACAATGCGATCGGTGACCCCGTTTCGCTCAGCCTGCAAACCACCGGCGACTGCTGACATTGCTGAAAAGACCCCGCGATCAACTATATTCCCAGACCTTTATTTCCTTCCTTTTTTTCTTCTTCTTCTTCTTCTTCTTCTTTCTCCTCCTCGACGGTTTGATGAAGAGTCCGAGACCCGTCGAGGGCCTACAGATACGTAAGTCGACAGGCTCTTCCGTTCTTTCGGGCTTATTTTCGAGGCCAGTTTGTGTTCCTCGTTCGTTAACGGAATCGAACGAACGAGAATTAACGACACCGATAAATATACTGGTAACGGGATCCTTTTGCGTTTCCAGACAATTTCCGAGTCAATCTGAAGGATTGATTTGGAGAATAAGCATTTTAGGATCATTTCGAAATGGACAGAGGCGTCTTTGAAAGCATTTCTACGAGTTACCAGAAAAAAAAAGAAGTGCAACTGCATTTTGCACCGATGCACAAAACTGCATAAACCTAATTCCAGAGTATAACTTATGTCATTAGTTGAATATTTTCAACATCCTTATGTCGAGAAGCGTTTTTACGAGCCCTCCATGCCAACCCTGACAAGAGATAGATTTGAATGAACGTTTTTCTCCTTTTTCTCGAAATTTTACATCGCGTTGCTGGCGTCACGTATTCCATTACGAATAAAAGCCAGTCGTCGTAGCAACGTAGCAAAGAGTACCTCTTTCGTAAACAGTGATCAACAATGGCGTTGCAGTTTTAAAAGGAGATCGTCAAAATGTCACGAGAATACGACGCGTTTCGTATGTCACATAAATTCAACGCTACGTTTGCGCCTACACGCTCGAAACGCGGGCACAATGAATTTAAAGTGAGATTTAAGGGGTGAAATATTCTCGCATTTCCAACCCTTTTTCTTTCGACAACTATACTGCAAGTTGATTTGCAAATCTTAATAATAAACTATTTTAAATATACAATTACCAATTTAAAAATTGTGGAAATTTTGCTAATTGAAATAATTAGAAAAACGATTGTTAGATAATATATCATAAGTTCGATAGAAAAGAAATATTTTTGAATTTTATAATATTTAACATAATTACATTATTTCTTTTTTAAATTACTTTTAATATTAATATCGTCAAAATTAAATTATTTCTTAGAAGAGCCTCATATAATCGCGAGTGTATGTAATAAAATGTAATAACGTCGACAAAGAGACTATAAATATGTATGACGATGGTATAAATAAATGACTAACAACTTACACACGAGATACACGAGCACACGTCACGTCGTATAAATATTCAACTTAAATTTATTTCTACCATGCATACCACGTAAAGAGGGTTACGTAATTATAAATGACACTAAAGGTGTTATTATTTTATAAAATCGTACCATCTCAAAAATGAAAGAAATGTTATCTTCTGATAACGTTTAGATATGATGAAAAATAAAAAGGAAGCCTATAGTTTTCAATGATTCAAGGGATATAGCTTTTCAAGTTTATTCTAAACTTAAAATAGTCTTGTTGAGAGAATATCGTTCAGAAAATCGTATTTTCACCATGGTCATGAATAACAAAGACTGCTCCGAACGAAAGGCATGAAAGTTATCAAAAGA